CCCTAATGACCTAATCACCTCTTCAGTCACCTCTTCAGGGTTCCCCCTCTTAAAACCGGCATGATGGCAATTAAACTTCCTTCTTTTTTATGTGTTTATTTTAAACTGACAGATAACATTGTGTGTTTTTGTTGTGTACAGCATGATTTGTTGAAGTATATATACATTGTGGAATAGTTAACTAGCTAATTAACAAATGCATTACCTCACAGAGTTCTCATTTTTGTGATGAGAGCATATAACATTCACTCTTTTTATATTTTTCAAGAATACACTATATCATCATTAACTGTAGTCACCTTGCTGTACAATTAGATCTCTTGAAATTTATTCCTTCTGCCTAACTGTAAGTATGTATCTTTTGACCAACATTTCCCCAACCTCCTTCTCCCTAGCCACCCCAGCCTTTGGTAACCACCATTATACTCTCTACTTCTGTGAGACCAACTTTTTAAGCTTCCATATATAAGTGTGATCATGCATTATTTATATCTCTGTGCCTGCCTTATTTCACCTAGCATAATGTTCTCCAAGTTCATCCATGTTGTTGAAATGACAGGGTGTCCTCCTTTTTATGGCTGAATAGTATTTCATTTTATATGTGTGTATGTGTATATATATATATGTGTGTGTTTAAGTGTATGTGTATATGTGTATACATATACACACTATATATACACACACACACACACACCACATCCACAATTTTTTGTTTTTTTTTTGAGACAGAGTCTCACTCTGTCACCCAGGCTGGAGTGCAGTGGTGCAATCTCGGCTCACTGCAAGCTCCGCCTCCCAGGTTCACGCCATTCTCCTGCCTCAGCCTCCTGAGTAGCTGGGACTACAGGCGCCGATCACCACGCCCAGCCAGTATTTTTAGTAGTGAGGGAGTTTCACTGTGTTAGCCAGGATGGTCTCAAACTCCTGACCTCGTGATCCACCCACCTTGGCCTCCAAAAGTGCTGGGATTACAGGCGTGAGCCACCACGCCCAGCCCACATTTTTTTTTTTATTCATTCATCTGTTGGTGAACATCCAAGATGATTCTATACCTTGGCTATTGTGAATAAGGCTGCTATAAACGTTGGAGTGCAGATCTCTTTGACATACTGATTTCATTTCCTTTGGACACATCAACAGTAGTGGGATTGCTGGATCATATGGTAGTTCTATTTTTAATTTTAAAATAATTATTGAGGCCTGGCACAATGGCTCATGCCTGTAATCCCAGCACTTTGAGAGGCCAAGGTAGGCGGATCATTTGAGGTCAGGAGTTTGAGACCAGCCTGGCCAAGATGGTTAAACTTCATCTCTACTGAAAATACAAAATTAGCTGGGTATGGTGGCACATGCCTGTAGTCCCAGCTACTCGGAAGGCTGAGGCAGGAGAATCGCTTGAACCCAGGAGATAGAGGTTGCAGTAAGCCGAGATCACGCCACTGTACTCTAGCCTTGGTGAAGGAGTGAGACTCCATCTCCAAACAAACAAACATATATACATACATTTTTTGGGTGGGTTGGGGCAGGCACAGAGGCTCATGCCTGTAATTCCAGCACTTGGGAAGCCGAGGCATGTGTATCACTTGAGTTCAGGAGTTTGAGACCAGCCTCGGTAGCATGGTGAAACTCTGTCTCTACAAAAAAATACAAAAATTAGCTGGGCATGATGGCCTGCACCTGTAGTCACAGCTGCTTGGGAGGCTCAGGTGGGAGGATGGCTTGAACCCAGTAGGTGGAGGTTGCAGTGAGCTGAGATCATGCCACTACATTCCAGCCTGGGTGACAGAGCCAGATCAGTGGTGAATTCTGATATTTTAGTGCACCTCTCACCTGTGTAGTATACTACACAAGTAGTGTGCTTATACTCAATGTACCCAATGTAGTTTTTTTTTCCCCTCACCCCTCTCCCAACCTTCACCCTGTGAATCTCCAGAGTCCATTATGTCACTCTGTATGTCTTTGTGTCCTCATAGCTTAGCTCCCACTTATAAATGAGAACATACAGTATTTGATTATCCATTCCTGTGTTACTTCGCTTAGAATAATGGCCTCCAGCTCCATCCAGGTTGCTGCAAAAGATGCTATTTCATTCCTTTTTATGGCTGAGTTGTATTGCTTGGTGTATAGATACCACATTTTCTTTATTCACTCATTGATCAGTGGACACTTAGGTTGTGAATTCTCCAGCTCATATTTTCAGTTTTTTGAGGACTCTCCATTTTGTTTTCCATAATACCTGTACTAATTTACATTCCCACCAATAGTGTATAAGGGTTCTGCTTTCTTCACATCCTCACCAACACTTGTTATTGTTTGTCTTTTTGGTAATAACCTCTCTCAGTGGGGTAAGCCAGTATCTCACTGTGGTTTTGATTTGCATTTCCCTGATTAGTGATGTTGAGAATTCTTTCATATACCTGTTGGCCATCTGTATGTCTTCTTTTGAGAAGTGTCTATTCAGGTCGTTTCAATGGCTGTTAAATTTCAACATGAGTTTTGGAGGGGACATTCAAACCACAGCATCAAACTTTAATCTCTGTTACATATGTTAATATTTTTTTCCTCTCAATCAGGGCACTCACTCTCCAGTTTGCCTCAGATATTGTTTTCCTATTACTTGAATGTATTTACATTTGAAATCCCCAGTCCTCACTAGAGTTGGAGATCCAGGCATGTGGGGAAAAAATGGTATTTCTTGGAGACTTGAGAACACAGATAAGACTAACAAAGGAACTGTTGAATACCATCAGTGCCACCAGATTCACCCACTAGATGCTTCTTTTTAATAAGGTTAAAACATTTGTAGTAAGAAAATTCTATTAATATTTATTTTCTGCATTTTAATCTCTTCAAGGACTATGTTTTATTTGTCTCAGTCTTTTCAGATAATGTTGGTGGTTAAAAAACTGAAAGCATTAGTTTGTATTTTTAAAATGTAAAATTAAAACACTTGATGAATATGTAGCTTGAGCAGTCTGTCAAAGCCATGACTCTGAGAACCAAACCCAATTCTAAAAATGTTTATCTGATGTTATCACAGAATATATTTTAAAACTGGAGCCATCTGCCTTCCAAAGTTTATCTCCGCTGCACCTGCGCTCAAAAATACTTCTGCCTACACACAGGAACTATTGTTTAAAGATTTTGCTGTTGATTCAGCATGGAGGCTCTCCAGGAATTATTCACACTTTAAATTTATTTTAAAAAATAATGCATACTATAAAAAACAAAACAGAAAACCCCCCAAATTCTACAAAGACATACAGGAAAATTATATCTTTTCCCACCTCTATCTGTAGTCCCTCTTACCAGAAATAACCACTGTTACAAGTTTCTTGTGGATCCCTCCAAGGATAGTCTCTGAATATACACATGCATGTGTGATGCACATGCGCACACACGCAAAGCCTCCTTTTTCTGCACATATGGCAACATATTGTATATGCTTTTCAATACCTGTTTTGTTTTCATTTTATTTAACATATCTAAGGAGAGTTTTTTGGTATCAGTATATCTGCACTATTCTTTTGGCTCATACTATGACATTATGTGAATGTTTAATCATTTAATCAGTTTCTTACTGATGAATAGGTTTGCAATCTTTCTACTATAAACAGCAACACTAAGAACATTCCTTTATGTCTGTCTTTGTGCATGAGTGCACTTCTATAGGACAAATTTCTAGAATTGGAATTATGGGGTCAGAAAGGTATGTGCGTTTTTAATTTTATTTGTTATCGTTCAGTGGCCCTACAAAGAATTACCAGTTTGCATTTTATTAGTGTATAAAAGTGCAGTTTTCTAACACCCTTGCCCAACCGTTTTATCAGATCTTTTGCCAGTCTGATAGATGAAAAATGATGTTTTACTATGGTTTTAATTTGCCTTGCTCTTGTTATGATCCAGCATCATTTTGTCCAGGAAAGAACACTAGCTCAGGACTGCCAGGCAGACAGATGTGGACCCCGCTTGTTGGCCATCATTGTCATCTACACTGTTTTTTGTTTTTGTTTTTGTTTTTGTTTGTTCTTCTTCTCTCTCTCTTTTTCTTTTCCTTGGGGCGAAAGTCAGACAGTATTGTTAAAAAAAAAAAAATCCTCATGGGGAAAGAAACCTTACAGATAACTATATATATACTTTTTAAATTTAATTTTATTTTTATTTTTTATTTTTTTCAGAGACAGCTTCTCGCTTTGTTGCCAATAGGCACTGGAGTCCAGTGGTGAGATCATGGCTTACTGCAACCTTGATCTCCCAGGCTCAAGTGATCCTCCTACCTCAGCCTCCCAAGTTACTGGGACTAATAGGCACATGCCACCACACCGAGCTAATTTTTATTTTTCACCGGGTCAGAGTCTCACTGTGTTGCTCAGGCTGGTCTCAAACTCCCGGTCTCAAGCAATACTCCAGCCTCAGCCTCCCAAACTGTTGAGATTACAGGCATTAGCCACCACACCCAGCCTTAAATTATATGTTTATCTAACAAATCCATTACTTTTTCCCTGACCCATCTCATTCTTTTTTCCTAGTTTGCTGCTACATCTTTTAAATATTTCCTATCTATTCCTTTTATCAATGCCTCTCACCAACCAAAAACATGAGCATTTGAACTTCTGTCTGTCTGGGCAGGTTATTTTATTTCCTTCATTGTACCTGAAGATTATTTCCACTCAACAACCCAGTAGACTGCCAACTCTGTAAGGACATCTTTTCACTGCTAATACTCCAGCCCCTAGAACAATATCTGACACACGATAGTCATGCAATAACTTTCTTTTTCCTTTACTATATAAATATTTTTTATTATATGCAGTAACATAAAATATGCATAACAAAATTACCATTTTAGTTGGCCATTTTTAAGTGTACAGTTCAGTGGCATTAAATACATTTACATTTCAATAATTTTCTTTTGAATAAACAAATGAACAGTCATACTGGTTATTTGTGCTTGAAAGTTACCAAGAGCCAGATGGTAACATTGGCCTTCTTTCCTGCAGATGAAGTTATACGGAAGCGTCTCCTCATTGATGGAGATGGTGCTGGAGATGATCGGAGAATTAATCTGCTAGTGAAGAGTTTCATTAAATGGTGCAACTCTGGGTCCCAGGAAGAGGGGTATTTCATTTCACTGTTGTTTCCATACCAATGTCCTAATGTGATTTTAGGCCATATATTCAGGTCCTGTGAATAGATCAAATTTTCACTCACCTTAAATGTCCAGTGGAGTCAACTCTTAATCGAGAGTAGATTTTCTTGGCCTTTTCTTCTCTTCAGAGGCCTCCCATATGTTTATTAAAACATGGAGAAGGAGGATTGGTAAGGAGAAATGAAGATTAAATTCAGACTCATTAGTTTGGTTACTTTTATGATATAAGTGTTTAATAGGATAAAATATCTAAATGGAATTTTCTCCTTTGCTAATAAAAGGCTACCGCTATGTATGTATATATTAAGTTGACACGATTAACCGCGATTAGTTTTGCACCAACCTGATACACACACACACACACACACACACACACACACGTATATCTAATTTTTTTTTTTTTTGAGACAGAGTCTCATTCTGTTGCTCAGGCTGTAGCGCAATAATGGCACAATCTTGGCTCACTGCAACCTCCACCTCCCAGGTTCAAGCAGTACTGGTGCCTCAGCCTCCTGAGTAGCTGGGATTATAGGCAAGCACCACCATGCCTGACTAATTTTTGTATTTTTAGTAGAGATGGGGTTTCACCATGTTGGCCAGGCTGGTGTCGAACTCCTAGCCTTAAGTGATCTGCCCACTTTGGCTTCCCAAAATGTCAGAATTACAGACATGAGCTACCATGCTCAACTATATTTATTTATTTTTTAACATAGTAAACTTTTCCTCATTTGAATTTGCTTTCCATATAAATGATTTTATAGAGTGAAAAAATTGTGGGAACAGAACTGTGAAGTTAAAAAAACATCTTAAAGTATTTTTTAGTCTTTTAAACAAAATTCAAATAATTGTTTGAATAAAACGTGTATTGATAAGAACAGCAGTCCCATCTTTGCATTTGTAACTAAAGTAATTAAATTCAAGAATACTACATTTGATAAAAAGAAAACTTAAGGGACAGATATTCTAAATTATTTTAAATAAGCAAATGATTCTCTCAGAACTTGGTATAATTTAATTAGCAAATATTTGCCTGCATTATAACAGTTCATTTTTGTCAATCCACAAGCATCCTTATTTTGGTTTTCTCTCTTTTTCATTAGGTATAGCCAGTACCAACGTATGCTGAGCACGCTGTCTCAATGTGAATTTTCAATGGGCAAAACTTTACTAGTATATGATATGAATCTCAGAGAAATGGAAAATTATGAAAAAATTTACAAGGAAATAGGTAAAGAATCTTAATGTTTCTATCTGTAATTTTATTTTTTATGGTCTAAAGGAAACAATATCTGCTAACAATTTTCTTTGATTGGTGGTAAAAGAATAATAACAATTACTGTATTAATGGAAAGAATACAGTAAATGTTAGTGATAAAAATGCATATTCTAACATGATATAGTACTTTGGGTTACAGCTGTTTTTTTAAAATACTAGTGTCTATTTTGTTACCAATAGAATTTAATTTATAAATGCATTTTAAAATTAAAAATGGATTATTGATTTTGTTACCACTATCTTTTAAAAACCTTCTCATATAGAATGTAGCATAGCTGGAGCACATGAAAAAATTGCTGAGTGCAAAAAGCAAATTCTTCAAGCAAAACGAATACGAAAAAATCGCCAAGGTAAGGGTTTTGAGGGATTTAATGTGCAAATACATTATTACTGACTACTATTTTCATGCAGTTTTTAATGTTGTGAGGTATAATCTGCAGCCTGAATCAACCTTGATTTAAAAAATAAATCCAAATTTTAATTCCTTAGAACTATATTATTCTTTAAAATACAGAAGGAGGTCTGTGTTGAAAAGAATGTTTTTGCTGGATTATGTTGATTATCTAAGTATTTCTTTTGTTTTTCTCTTATCTCAGTATTTCTTAAGTATTAAATTTTTACCATCTTGGACCCTTTTGCCTAAATAATGTTATAGTTAATCAACAGAGGCGATTTACATAAATATACTAGATTTATGGTTTGGGTTTTTAGTTTGTTTGTTTAATAGAGCTACTTTCCAAAAAATGAAATGGAAAAGAATTTAAACTCTGTGAGTTTTCATTAAGTACAAAGCAAGCAAACATTTCTAGACGGCCTACAATATCTAATAAGAAGGTTAAAGTTGAGTTTTGTTATAATCTCTTGTTTTTAAGTTAGAGTATATCCTTATGTAGTTCCTAAATACTATTTCAAGAAAATTTTTAATGTTAGAGGCAATGCTGTTCTTAAAATGTAAATTGAAGAAAAATAAAAATAAAAAATATAATGTGTAATCACAACTGTTACACTGATGTGAAAAACTAGAAGAAAATAGAAAATGTTAATGGTTATTTTGAAGTTGTGAGTTTTTATGGCTTAGGTTCTTTTCTCTGTTTTTGTTTTGTTTTGTTTTGTTTTACATAGGGCATGTATTATTTTGTAATTCAAAAAATTTGTGTTCAAAAGAATCATACTTTTATTGAATTAATATGCTCAGTTCTAAAACAATGAATGTTCACTTTTTAATGAACTAATTAAGATGAAGCTTAATTTCCTCTTTTTACAAGTTGTTTTTTTCAGTTTAAAATGTGTATGGTGAAGTTTTGGTGCCCTATTTACAGTAAGATATACCAACTTAGTATCAGTTCAAAAGTCATTTAAAAATATTTGGAGTGTTTTCGTTGGTTAATGAGGTTTTTAAGTAAATCCTGCCACTCATCACTCATCACTTCATAAGAAAGGTTAACAGAAGTTACATGACTTATCTTGGAGGTCTCAGTGGAGCAGAAAGTAGAACCTGAATTTTAAGTTATTTGCAGGTTTCTGAAATCTTAACTTTTGGAATGAGTGAGAAGTGTAATTTGCTGTTGACTAACAACTCAAACTAATGGTAGGATATATTTACTGATTTTATTTTATTTTATTTTATTTTTTAGACAACTAGTGAGTAAGATCCTTCTCAGAATCAGTCTATTTGATAATCAATAATAACTTAAATTTGCTTATGCTTATGCTGACCTCTTATATTCTGTCCACGACATATAAATGGAAAAAAAGTGGGAGCTAAAACCCCTGTTTGGAACATTTTTGATGTTGTGTATCATTATAATTATAACTCAGTCAACTAAAACTGGCAATACTCATCTTTCAATGATTTCATTTCTTGATGTACTAGGGAAGTGATTAGAAGAGGTTTGTGATATTATACATTTTTGTTGATGATATACATTTTTGTTTTGATAATTCACATTCAAAAAACCCTTAGTTTGATAAATATTTTTATGTCTTTCAGAATATGATGCTTTGGCAAAAGTGATTCAACACCATCCAGACAGGCATGAGACATTAAAGTAAGTGTAGAGTTTTACTTTGAAAGGAACTAACCTTTATACATAAATGCTCATAAACTACCCTAGGCATTTCATTTTTTGCAGAATAAATAAGTTTCAAAAGGAGGGGTCAGATCTTCAATATTATATTTTCCCATACTTCTCTGTTAGATTTTATTTCCCTCTGACCTTACCACCTATATGTCTGAAATAAATGCATGTAATATGCATCAATAGCACAATGGACAAATAGAATATGGTCTTCATATATTAAAATACTGAATTTCAGTTAAAAAGAATAAACTAGTTATGCCCTTTTAAAACACAGCTCTCAAAACATAGTCAGTGAAAAGACACATAATAAATTTTAAATTATTACTACATTCCTGAAACAAAGAATAATAACCATTTATAAAAGTTAGAACCCCCTTTCAAATATTATATACCAATACTGTATATTATTCAGAGATACAAGTATATGCATAAAAAAGAATTAGAATGATATAGTAGTTGCCTGAGTGGGAGGTAGAGGAGATAAAACAGCCCAGGATAGAGGTCTAGAGGTAAGATTCAAAGGATATTTCGAGTTAATTGGCAATGTTTTCTTTCTTTTACCAAAAAAAAAAAAAACCCTTGAAGTTAAGCTTCACAATATGTATCATTTCTTGGGTCTTGTTATTTTATTATCTGTGTTTTTCTGTACTTTAAAAATGTATCCAAAAATGTAATTTTAATGAAAGTAAGTCCGTATTTAGAAGTTAAGAAGAAATCATCCCCAGCCTCAGAAGTTTCACCATAATGGAGTGTTATAACTCCTTATAAGTCTTTTTTTTTTAATTTTAAAAATCCTATCTAGTAACTAAAAAGTTAGGTATTAATTGTAATCTCTTTTCCCCCATTCAGCAAAATGTAACACTGTTTTATTTCCAGGGAACTAGAGGCTCTGGGAAAAGAATTAGAGCATCTTTCACACATTAAAGAAAGTGTTGAAGATAAGGTATTTGCACATATATTTAGCCTTTGTGATCTATCTATCTGTCTGTCTATATATCTATATATATAGGTCATCATTTGTATAAATTTTTTTCTTGTTAACACAGCTGGAATTGAGACGGAAACAGTTTCACGTTCTTCTTAGTACCATCCATGAACTTCAGCAAACATTGGAAAGTAAGTAGAAATAGTCTCAAAATAAATGTTTATGAAGATTTTTTAAATGACCCAGGAATGTATCTTTTGAAATATATATCTTGGAGAGAGAGTATACCTTCTATTTCTGAACAATATAGCTGGATGACGTTAGAAGGTACTCAAGTTCAACTTTCTTGAATATATGTAGAAAAGTCATAATTTGTGGTAATATAGGATTTAAAGATATACATAGTGGTTTAAATTAAGAAAAATTCGAGGATGATAGATTTGGAATCTTTCTTGGTTCACTGTAGTTGATTACTATAATGTAATAACTCAGGACCCAGGCAGGCAATAATAAGGAATCAGTACATAAGAACATTTGCATACCCACTGAGTGGTGGGTACTTTGGAGAACTGGAGACTTGCTCTTTATATTCACTGTAGACAGTTAGAAATTTTTGTATTACCTGATCTTTTGATTGTTTTAAAGAATAGCCTAAGAGCCAGATTTTTTTTTTTTTTTTTTTTTTTTTGAGACAGTCTTCCTGTCACCCAGGCTGGAGTGCAGTGACACAATCTTGGCTCACTGCAATCCCCACCTTGCAGGCTCAAGTGATTCTCATGCCTTAGCCTCCCGAGTAGCTGGAATTACAGGTGCATGCAACCACGCCCAGCTAATTTTAGTATTCTTAGTAGAGATGGGGTTTTACCATGTAGGGTAGGCTGGTCTTGAATTCCTGACCTCTAATGATCCACCTGCCTCGGCCTCCCAAAGTGCTGGGATTACAGGTGTGAGCCACCAGACCCTGCCCAGATTTTTTTTTTTTTTAAGTGAAATCTATCACATAAATTTGAAAGTTTGATTCAACTAGTAGCCATCTTTGCTTTAATTGTATTGGCTAATACAGGATAAACATGTTTTCATGTGTTCATTGAATATAAAACATAGGCAAACTTGACTAAGGTTTTATGTTTCCTTCTCAATTACAGATGATGAAAAACTCTCAGAGGTAGAAGACGCTCAGGAAGCAAGCATGGAAACAGATCCTAAGCCATAGACAGGCTAATCGCCCACCACTCCCAGGAATATTGAAATAGCTACGTGACCATAATGTGTTTAAAATGTGGTGTGCTCTTGAGATATTTAAAGTTTTGGCAGTAAAATACTCTGTTTTTAAATATGAATGTGTATTTCATTCATATTTCCTCACACAAAGGAAAATGACTTCAGTATAGATTTGTTTTTATTAAAATGCATTTTTTTATTCTTAAGTGGTAGGAAGCAACATCCAAAAATGCTTAATAAAATGCTTTTAAGCTGGATATGTTTGTGCTCATTAATATTCCAGGTAGTTTTTAACTGGTAACATTGACTGGCTTACAAAATAAGTTGAAAATTGTTAGAAGTTGGCATTTCCAGGATGTACATGGGAAAATGGGCCAATTTCTGGAAATGGTTACACTTCTGAAAATGGAGTCTATGAAGAGGCTTTAGGAGGGCCATGAATCTGTGAAATTACATGCAAAATGTTTGTGGTGTATGCTTATTGTATAGAGAGGTTCCAGGCTGTTAAAAGTCACTGGTATGAGAGGTAATTATAAGATGCAAAGTAAAATAATGCGCATTACTTTCTATATCTCGCCTTAATATGTGAGGAATATAATTCTCAAATGTTTTGTTGATCTCTTTTCTCTACTGTTTTGTTCTTTAGGAATCATTTTCAGTAGAAAAAAATGTACTGATAAAGTGAAGAGTTGTTTGAAGTAAATAGTTTGTTAAGATTGTCTTGCATAGGCCAGGCGCGGTGGCTCACGTCTGTAATCCCAGCACTTTGGAAGGCCAACGCTGGCAGATCACCTGAGGTCAGGAGTTCGAGACCAGCCTGACCAACACGAAGAAACCCCGTCTCTACTAAAAAAAATACAAAATTAGCCAAGTATGGTGGCACCTGCCTATAATCCCAGCTACTCAGGAGGCTGAGGAAGGAGAATCATTTGAACCCAGGAGGCAAAGGTTGCGGTAAACCAAGATCGCGCCATTGCACTCCAGCCTGGGCAATGAGAGTGAAACTCCATCTAGAAAAAAAAAAAGATTGTCTTGCATAAAGAATTTATTATCTTTTTAAAAATTAAGCTAAGGCTGAATCACTTGTGATTTTCTTAAGTATTTCATTACACGTGTAACACTTGTTCCGCTCCATCCTTACCATTTATTTTAGTTAAGAAACATGACACTTTGCATGAATCATACCTTAATGATGTTATATTTTTGTAATTTTAATAATAATTTTTATCTTAAAAATGAAAGTTTAAAATTAGCGCAGTTGTAATCATATTAAAAGTGTCATAATACCTATAAATACTTCCTCTAATTTCATCTGGCAAGTCATGGGAGAAATTTCTTTGCAGAATTGCTATGCTGTGACAAATGTTTCTATTTTCCATTAGTAAAAATTATGAAACAACAATTTGCCTATATTGACTCAGAATTAAAAATCAATTTTTTTTTTCTTTTCTGAGACAGGGTCTTGCCCTGTCATCCAGGCTGGAGTGTAGTGGCTTGATCACAGCTCACTGTATCCTTGACCTCCCAGGCTTAAGCAATTCTTCTATGTCAGCCTCCCGAGTAGCTGGGACTACAGGCAACACATCACCATACCCAGCTAATTTTTAAAAGTTTTTTGTAGTAACAGATTCTCACTATATTGCCCAAGCTGGTCTCAAACTCCTGGGTTCACGTGATCCACCCACCTCAGCCTCCCAAAGTGCTGGGAGTATAGGCATGAGCCACTGTGCCCCAGACAAATACCAGTTTTTCAAAAAAGATATTTATTTTTTAAAGGACTATTGGGTAGAATTTTTTTTAAATGCTGTCTCCCCATCCCCACCCCCGTTGATTAATTCACTAGAGAGATTTTTTCAGGATTAAGTAAAGATAAGAGTCTCTTGGAAGATAACTTTTATTTATTTATTTTTGAGATGGAGTCTTGCGCTGTCACCCAGGCTGTAGTGCAGTGGTGCGATGTCGGCTCACTGCAGCCTCTGCCTCCCAGGTTCAAGCAATCCTCCTGTCTCAGCCCCCCAAATAGCTGGGATTATAGGCACCTGCCACCACACCTGGCTAATTTTTGTATTTTTAGTAGAGATGGGGTTTCACCATGTTGGCCAGGCTGGTTTTGAACTCCAGACCTCAAAGGATCTGCCTGCCTCGGCCTCCCAAAGTGCTGAGATTACAGGCGTGAGCCACCACGCCCAGCCTAGGGAAGATAACTTTTAAAGAATCAGGAACAATGTCAGAAGCAGCAGCAGCAGGTACATGGGAAACACACATTTTTAAATTTATACTTCCTCTTGGTTCTCTTGGATATCCTCTGGAACTGTTTAGAAGACTGAAGAATTTCATCCCCCAGAAACTCACACCGTTGAAGCTCAGCATGTCTTTGGGCCAATAGCTTCATGGATTTATCGGTCACTGTTTCTATGAGGTCATCCACCTATGACAGATAAATACCAAGAAATGAAGCCATGTTTTGGAAAGCCTTGTCAAAATCAAAGGGATAGTTGCTTTTCCCAAGAGAAGAGTTCTGGAACTGGTGGACATTTTGCAAGTCTTAAAATATTATTCTAATTCAAGTCATAGCAATGGAGCTTGAAAGCGTACATTTACCACCCAGTGATAAAGACGATCTCAGTTCTTCTGAAAAGAAACCTATGTATATGCCTTCACTTTAATTGAATTCATTTAATATTTATCAGGTACACAGCATCATCCTAGGTGTCCTTAGCAATCCTTTAGCCACTTTCAGAATGCCCCCCTACTAACATTATTTCTTAATGCTAATCATTAATTTCATCCCACCCATGCTGTCTAATAGGGCTGTGCGTTTGGTTAAGCCTGGTTCTCTGATGCTTCTGAGATTCAAAAGTTAAAAGCCTTTGTCCACTACCTGCATTTGAAGCTTTCCTACTGTCAAATCTGATTTTCGAAGGATGTTTTTCATGCCATGCTTCTTCTTTTTAAGTGCTGGAAAGTGTGGTCTCTTTTTTGGTGAATATGGCCCCTATGGTAAAAATGCAAAACACATCAGATTAGGAACTACCGTTATTTTTGTGATGGTGCTTTAACAAGAGTTCTCACCTTCGGGACATTCTCTTATAAACTGAACATTTGCCACATAACAATATTGGATTGGAGGCTGTATTCATATTATTCTCCACACCCAAGTATCTTCTTTGTGCCCAGAGCTCTCTTTGAAGAGATCTATAGGGTGCAGAGAAATGAGATTGTCTGACTCTGAAAGAATATACAGCATCAGGAAAAAAGCAGGTCTTCATAAGGGGAAGAAGAAGAAATTGCCTCTGCAGCTGCCGGGCACAGTGACAGTGTGGGGCTGTTGTGGACCAGTGCCCCAGAAAGCTCATTATCAGTGAATCTAGTTGTTAATTTGGTCTCGTTTCTGCAGGTTTCCTTATTTTCATGGCAGTCATATCTTCAAACATAAAAAGAAAGCTCTGGGTTCTTTTCACCCCATGCCTGATACTTTTCCCATTATCCCTGGCTTACTGGTTACAAGTACCTGTCCTAATAGTGTTGCAATTGGAAATCATTCCCAGGTCATGGCTCCAAGCTAATACGCCCTTTTTAGTCTTACTGAGTTTACTCTTCCTTCCCCTTGTGCTTAATAATTCACATTAGGACTATTGTGAGACCTACACAAAGTAGGATATGGGACCAGATCTGGGTCCTACCCTTTGCCTTTACATATGGAGTCTGCTGAACCACTGCTACCCTGCCAGCTTGCCCAGCTCAAATGTCACTTGCAGAATCTTCCCTGATCTAGCTAAAGTAAGACCCCTCTTTTTTCTCTTTCATAAAATCCAGTACTTTTTCCTGTTAAGCACCTAGCATACTAGCATACTTGGCAGTTACTACATTATGTCTGTGTTTATTGAATACAACTAAGGCAAAATCTAGTGCCTAGGCAAGTTTTGTAAAGCAGGACTAGTTGGGGCTGGTATGGACTGAAGAGAACACACCTCCTGCAGTACCTTGGTGCAGCTCCTGCTTGTTGCCTTGAGGAATTGGCCTAGTATTTTCAAATCTTTTTATTTTTCAAAAGAAAGTGGAAAACCCAGAATTTTATTTGAAATATCCTAATTTTTAAATGTGGACAATTAATTCAAATACATATATAGATTTTAAGATGAGGTCTCACTCTGTTGCCTGCGCTGGAGAGCAGTGGCATGATCATGGCTCACTAAAGCCTCAACCTCTGTAGGCTCCAGTGATCCTCCCACCTCAGCCTCCCGAGGAGCTGGGACTAAAAGTGTACACCACCATGCTCAGCTAATTTTTATATTTTTTTTGTAGAGGTGGGGTTTTGCCATGTTGCCCAGGCTGGTATCGACCTCCTGAGCTCAAGTGATCCTCCCTCACCAGCCTTCAAAAGTGCCAGGATTATAGACATGAGCCACCACACCCAGCCAATTCAAATATATTTTTGAGAACATTCTGAGGGCTAAACAAACCATTTTCATAGCTAGTTGACAACCTCTGATCTAACACCATTTGATGGAAAGAAATTCTTAATTATAGCCAAATTGCCCCATCTTTATCTTTATGGTTAGTGTTATGTGTGTCCTAAGAAGTCTTTATGCTGAAGTCATGAAGATATTCTTATTGTCCTCCAGGAGTTTTAAGGTTTCTGCCTTTTCCACTTAAATCTATAACTGAACAGAAATTAATTTTTGTATATGGTGTGAGACAGGGATCAATTTTCATTTTTTTCCTATATGAATGCCCACTTGTTCCAGCAACATTTGTTCAAAAGAACACTGCTGTGTGGCACTATGGTTTAATGTGTATCTCCTCTATTTGATTGTAAGTTCCACAGAAGCAAGACCATGTCCATTGGATCACCCTATACTCCCCACCCCAAACCTACAAACTGCCTAAAACGTAATATGGGCACACTAAATACAAACCTAGCACACAAAAGGCAAAAATTCAAAACTAATATCAGTGCACTCTGACAGTGGTGTTCCAGAGCAGTACTGTTCAGTGGAACTTTCTGTGAAGATGGAAATGTGCTGTGCTCTATCTGTGCTGTATAGGACAGCCACTAACTAGGTGCAATTATTGACCATTTGAAACGTAGCTAGTGCAACTGGGGAACTGAACTTTTAATTTTATTTAATTTTAATTAACATAGGTAGTGACATTCAGCTATTGACTAGCATATTTGGACAGTACAGTTAGTCTATAGCATAGCAATTACTACTAAGGACTCTACAGCCAGGTCTTCCTGGGTTTGAAACTTG